ATCAAGTGTCGGAGTGGTGCAACTTCTGCCGGTAAGCTTTCCTCTTTCTTTCACAGGGTCAGTTGTTTTAACACCATCATTTTCTTTATCTGAATGACTTTCACTCATACTCCTCTTTGAATTACTTTTTGAGCTACGTTTGGTTTGCTCTTTCTCTATGTACTCCCTAGATTTTTTCATCAGGTTCTGAAGACTCATTACGTATGGATCTTGGACTTCCTCATCTGATGGCAACCCTCCTACTCCCTCTTTCTTTTGCAAAGCATGTGACGCAAGCTTACTATGCATGTTGTCAGGAGATGCAGCCCTTGGACAAGGTATGTCTTTTGTGATGCAATTCTCGCTTCGCTTTGAAAAAACATTTTCTTCTGCTGCTTTAACTACTTCTGTCACAGTGGATGTCATCTGCCCAGTAGTATCTGATGGCTTAAGTTCTGGTGTCTTTTCAAGCTCTGTGGAACCATGCCTTTCAGGAGAACACGCCACATTGACATCTGATAGAGCTGTGAAGTCAGCCGAAGCTTTTGAATCTGAATCAGGGCAATTATTCTCAGCCTCCTGTGCGTTCACATCACTCACGCTAGGTCTTCTCCTGATCTGCAAATAAAAATTGAGAAAAAAAAAAATTCATGTATTTTCAATGAAATCTCAGATTCTCAGGTTTCTGCAAGCTTCACCTGACTTTAAAAAAAAAGAATGCTACCACCTTAAAACCAATAAAAATTTTCAGTTTGACTGTTACCAATTTCCTACAATACAGAGCTCTTTGCAATGGGAAGGAGATTATTGGAATTAAAATATAAATTTAAATAATGGTCCACTCAGAATTTTACTCATACCAAGTATCTGAATGCAAAGATGCTCTTTTCTTCATAAGGTAATTTGGATAAATTCAAATAATATTATGGCTTCAAATTATCTTGCAAGATTCCTCTTAAAATATTAAAAAATGTTGACATTAAATAAGAAATGTAATTGCAAAATTTCAGCATGAAAAATAGACTAATCTATAGACAACTAAGAACAAATCAACATAATTCCTAATAAAAATAGTGGAACTATAAAATAATTTGTTCATTTTTTTATTAATCCGGAGACAATTAAATACAAGTTTTCATTTGTCAAGCACTTGGAAAACCAACTTCATTTAAGCAAGAATTACATGCTACTTCTAGTGAGCATTTGTTTAAAAGGATTTTCACACTACAATTATCCTATAGGTTATCCTGTGTGTTGCAACTCAATTATCAAGGGGACACCTTTGAAAAAATAAAAAAGCTAACTTATTTTTGTATTGAACCTATGTTCCTGGTCTGCTCTTCAAATCCCAAGCCAGATGACTGTTGCCACGTACACTCCAGTAAACAGTGCAAACTAGTAAGTTTTGTTTGCCACCTTAGTAACTCAACAAATTCAGTGTTAACTGTACTTGTTGAAGCAACAGGTTAATTTAAAGACTGTATTGCAATTGTTTCAAAGACAAATAATACTGCTTGATTAGATGTATTTAATAGTCTTTTCCATTTAAACCTCTACTAAATACACCATTGAAGCAGCAAAGAAAACAAAATATTTGCAGTAAAATTATAAAGCTCACAACAGAACACAAGTTGTTGCAAAGGTAATTTTAATTCTGTAAGCATAAGGTTGAATATAGATCATTTTCTGACTAAACTATAAGCTTGCAAATAAAGCAAACCAGTTGCTCTACCACTGGGGGTATTGTTCATTTGTTTTTACAATCTAGTTGTTTCAAACGCTGTTACAAAAGCAACAGTCACCCACCTGGTGAGGTCTGTCTTTTGCATATACCAAAAACAAGCAGTGAAAAGCAAGTCCCATGCATTACAACGAATGTAGATACTATCAATAAATAATCAATTATCAGGTCACATAGCATGAAACACTAGCAAGTGCTGGTTCTAGAGAGTTACCTGCTATTAATTTCATGTTTATATTGATGAATACTTAAACCCCAGCACTTTAAACATAAGCAGAGGTTTTCTGTAAAGCTATAAGGCAGCTTTGGACTAACACTACCTGAACATTTTCTAGAATCTCCTGAACACGATTCAATAAAGCTCTTTTCCGGGAGTTCTGTCTCCAGGTCTCTAGGTCCAGTGCTTTCTGTTTATATTGCTGTATTTCCTTTTTCTTTTCAAGGTTAAGCTGCAAAAAAGAGTGTAAGAAACATGGTTTATATCGCTAAATGCAGATTTCAGTATGGAATTACAGAAGTAAATTAGAAAGAAAAACAACAGAACAAAACAATAGAAGAACAACAATCACCTAAGTTGAGACTTTCCGCACATTTTAAATGCCAGCTTCTTTTTAACCATTTATACTTTTCTTTTAATGGAAGGTGCACAAAATGCCTTCTAGGCACACATGCAAATAAACATGAATGTAAAAGGTCATTTAGAAAAAAACTGCATGAACATTACATGCTACAGTACCAACTTCAAATGACACAGGACTCAGACTGCAGGGCAAGCCTTCCTCAGGCCCCTATGGAGATGGGAGGTTTGGGCATCCTGTAGAGCCCCCTGTGACCAATCTTCCTACCCGTACTCAAACTATTAAGCTCTATGAAGAACTAGCTTGCACTTGCCCTCTTGAACCATAGGCGAATTTCACAACAAGACAGAAATGTATGCAAGCAGTCTTCTGGATCCTTTTGACAATCAGAATCTGAAAATCTTCCAAGTTACTACTTTAGAATATGTCATTTGGATAAAAGTCAAAACTAGGTCTACAAAGCTACATCTACAAAAATTGGTTTCACAAAGTTCTACAAAATTAAATAGTCTCAAGTCAAATTATGCATTTCTTCTATGAAACAAAATATCCACCCATTTGTAAATGAAAAATATTACAATGTATCATTTAGTCTCCAATGTATATCTGTATCATGATTTTTGGACATCGTTGTTAGAAAGTGTCTCCGTTCATACTGCCCCTTGCTGAAACAAGGAAGTCAGCTGCATTATTGCACAAACTACCAACAGTCTTCTGCTTGGCTCTGTCTGCATTAAGCACAGAATGACTTAACATAATTGATGAGCCTGTGAAATACATTAGAGGAAGCTGCAAACACATGCAAAAAAAATTTACTTAAAAGCTTAACTATCTCAGTATTTCCTATGTGCACTTTTTTTTTTTTGACACTTTTAAATGAACTCACACGTTCAATATTTGGAATGTCAACATGATTTTACATGAAGTTAAACCCAGCAATAACATTCATCTTTTTAATACCACAAGCATTTTTACTCCCCTTGTGAAGACAAGAAGTTCAAGAAATTAAAGCCAATGTAGTCGGTGTGAAAAAAAAATACATTTTACCCCTTCACTTTGTAAAATTAAGGCTAAGAATGCTTAGAATACACTAAGCAGCAGGCCAGATGATACCTGACACAGAGCTGTACCTTCAGCAGAATCATGACATGTGGACATCAAAGCTAGTGCCAATAGCACAGTTAGCACACCAGGGAAGAAAAGAAAAGAAAAAGAAGGAAAAAAAAAAGGCCTTACCAGAGGGGAAAGCACAGGAACGCCATGGAATTGAATGAGGGAGATATTTCTGTGCTGAACAGTGACAGAGGTTTCTCTTTTTATTGCCTCTTCTTGGATTCTGGAAAGATGCTTCTTACAGAATATTTCATAGTCCTCCATCTTCATGTTAACTAAGCTGCAAAGAGTAATAACATTACCCTTCCATGTACTTCCGAGACCATGAAGGGAAAACAACATCACAACTAATTCTGTATCACTATATTCCGGGAAACAAGTTAAACATTAGAAAACTCAGTTATGTTTCTCGTCTTCCTACCATTAACAAATGCTGCAAAGCTTTTCTTTTTTTCCCATATAAAAATAGAATCTGCATATATGAGCAAAAAAAGATGATGACAGGTACACCGAGAAGCAAGCAAACATTGATATAATCAGGATTTACAAAACTACACACACTACAGATAACCTTAACAATTTCCGTCATAGATTAAACCTTTAAGGTCTCCCACGACTATCAGATAGATGCTATCAACTGTAAAAAAACCCAATAAATAAAATTGCAGCCAGTCGTGAATATTGCAAAAACAATTAAGCGGGTATTAAAGCAAGACCAGCCTTTATATTCAGGGGCCTGAGAGGAAGCCGTCTCCCTCCCCTGAGCCTCCTCCTCGACACATCCCTGGGTCAACAGCCGCCAATGCTTCCACCCGAAAAAGACGTTACAGCCTTGTTTCCTTAAGAGACCCTACGCGTCTCTCACTGCCCACCCCCACCGGAGCGAAAGCAGAGCCAAGCACACCGGCCGAGGCCCGCCAACGCTTTTGTTCCCCTCGCACACCCCTTCGGCCCGTCTCCGCCTTCCTCCCGCCCGCTCCCGGCGCACCGAGCCCTCCCCGGG